TTATATCTTTATGTTTGAAGCCTGAAATGTGGCAAAAGGTTGAAAAGTTCAAGGGGGCCGAATACTTTCGCAAGGCACTGTAGTTCCCCCATTTCATGCTTTGCATTTTAGTTCACCATTCCCACTTTTGATTTTTTCCAATGAAAACTTACATCATGTCCAATTACATTGTTTTTTTTTTTAAACCCACCCAATTTAGAATGGTCATTTGTGTGTTTTTCATATCTTGGATCACAGCTGTGAACCCATGACCAAACAAGGGAGAATGAGGAAGTGTAGGCAAACGTCTGTAACACACAACAGGCAGTACAGGAGGTGCATCTGGAGAGGCACATCCCTTGCCAGCACTACTGCATGTCTGCAAAGGCTCGGGTGGCCTCTGGGCCGCAAGCGAACCCTGACTGATGTAAGGGTTTGTGTGAATTTACTGGCATAATGTTTAGTTGTAACTGTAAATTGCATTAATTTATTTTGGCTATTAGGGAACAATCGGCAGAACAACAAGAAGTCTTCACAAGGACTCACAAAATGTAGGATTCATTTATTGGTGCTTAAAACAATTTGTACATAAACCCATTCAGGGTAAATACATGAGAGTCTTCCTGAATACAGATGGTAGTTCGTCACATGAGAATTATCAAGCTACTGTGTAGTGAGTACAAAGCAGAGATACATAAAAACAAGGATAATACGTTTAGTATGCTGTTGGTTACACTAACTTCCTAATCAGTCTCATTAACATAACATTCAGGTGCTCATGGGTAAATACGGCTACTTAAATTAAATAAATTGATATCAACAGGTGTTAAAATAACAGTTGAATTCTCAAGGGCTGTAATGATGAAGATTGAATTATACTCATCCACACCCGTGGCTTTGTAACTCTTGAGTGGAAGGATGGGGAAACAGCTGACTGGGTCCGTCGCAGTGCTGTCCAATCCGTGCTCTGCTGGCTTAGTGCCACTCCAATTCTGTAACAGCTTGTTATCGGGTTGAGCGAGAAAAGGATCCTCCTTATGTGGGTGCAATACCCTCCAGGACTATTGGTGTAAACTCCCCCCTTCTGGGAGTAGCCTTGCTCGTCCCATTGTGGGGTGTCCAGTGTGCCTTTATAGGACCTGCCCAGCTGTGGCTCATCACCTTGAAGCCAGGACAGCTGGAACTACAAAGGAGAAGTGTCGTCCTTCTACCAGGGCTCCGCCTCCACACTAAGGCATGCCCCCTTGTAATGCCACATCTGATTAATACCAACCTACTCCCTAGCTCAGTGGTTCTTAAATCTGAAGCGTCACAGAATATCTCGACATTATCAACATCCTTGTTACTTTATCATACTAACTAGAAACTGTATTGCTAGCAATACATTTTAGATTTATGTATCTTTCTTGTACAAGATAATTATTTATTGCATTTGGTTAGCAGTTTTCATTTCAAGATTCCAAAAGTGTTAAACATGTAGGACCCATAGTTCATCTCCCACCTGGATAGCATGTAGGAGCTATTGTGTGCCAGCAAATCTCTAATTGGATCCTGATTTCTAGTAAAGAAAAAATGGGGAAAGACCACAATTTCTGGAGCCAAAAACATCGTTCCAGCTTGGGGACATCTATAGCTTTGGGAATCTCTGTCACAGTCAGCTAGTACCATGACCTAAGCTCAAACGTGTGATCAGGGTGAGTGATTTTGCTAGTGATTGCCTCCCTATATAAATAGAGTATTAATAAGGGAATGTACCTAATTATGCAATTTTAATGTTTAAATCGTTTGAAAAGGTGGTCTAGAAAACAATAAAGCAAACCCTTCCAGTAACTCGCACAAAGCATTTATAGATATCTTGCAGGGATAAAGTACTGCATTTGTTCTACGGGTAATCCCTGTCACAGTCAGTTAGAATGGTAAAACATTTCCAACAAATGTTGGCCGAGTTGCAATTTTTTTATTTGAGAGAATTTGTTTTATGAATCAGTTTCACAGT